CTGAAAAAAATTAACATTTTTGAAAATTAAACACACAGCAATGTCTTCCAACACTTGGCAATTCATTTTTTTTTTTCTTACTAAAACATGGAAATTCTTGCTTCCAGGTAAACATTATTGTTACATTATATGGGGAATGAAGGCCTTGCTCTTGATAGAATACCAACCCCCCCACCCACCCAAAGCAACCTATAGACACCAAGCTAGACATGTGCAGTTTGTTTAGTTGAAATTCGGACAAAATTTACGTTATTTACGTTATTCGGAGATTTGGATGTATCCAAATTTCTGAATTACAAAAGTAATGAATTTAAATGGATTCCAAATTAAGAAACAAAATTTAGTCCAAAATTTGAATCAAATTTGAATCAAATTCAAAAACGAAATTCAATTTGAAAAACAAATTCGAAATATCAACATATTGCTGACTGTTACTGATTTCCTTCAAAGCCTATGTGTATTACTGTTAGAATATATCTGTCTTCTGAAATTTGAAATGGGAAAAGAATAGAATAAACAGAATAGAACATAAACGAATAGAATATAAATGAATAGAATATAAAATAAAAGAATTCAATACAATACAATGCAATAGAAAATAAAGGAATAGAAAGAATATAGCTGTCTTTCAAAATTCAAATTTCAAAAAGAATAGAATTGAAAAAAAACAGAACAGAAAAGAAAAGAGTAAAATAGAACAGAATAGAATATAATAGAAAATAAAAGAATATATTAAAATAGAATATAAAATAAAGGAATAGAATAGAATAGAAAAGACTAGAATAGAATACAATATAAAGAATATAGCCGTCTAGCAAAATTCGAATTTCAAAAAGATGAGAATAGAATAAAACATTACAATATTAATACTAATAATAAAAGATTACAATAGAAAAGAAAACAATAGAGTAAAACAGAACAGAATAGAAAATAAAAGAATAGAATAGAAAATAAAGGAACATAATATAATAGAAAATAAAAGAATAGAATAGAAAAAAATAGAATATAACCTTCTTCTGAAATTTGAATTTCGAATAGAATAGAACCAGCTATTCTTCACAATGAATTCAGAACGATTCGATATTTTCGATTTGAATTTGATTTGAATACTTTGAATCCATTGGAAAATTTGAATTTGGACAAAAACAAAAAAAACTAAACTAAACAAGACTAATTTTGTTACAAATGCAACTAAACGAAATTAAATTAGTAACTTAATGAATCAATATAAAAATTAAAACATTTTTTTCTTTCTGCACATTTCTACACCAAGTGCTGCTTTTTAGCCACTTCCCCATTCAGTTGAAGAGTTGTAAGTGATACTAAACTGCTGCAGAATAAAAGCAGATCTTCTGTCCTGCTAGAATGGGCTGTGTGAGTGTGTAAGAGCTGTATAAATTTCAGGAATGGATGTAGAGAAATACAAAGCTTTTGGCATATAAAATTCCTGTCTTATACTGTATGTAGTCCATCTTTGCATAGGCTTTTCGCTTGGAGTTCAGCCTTAAAGTGTTACTAAACCCAGGACCCTGCATCCACTATATCTGGTCTCCCACAGTACACAGAACATGGAAATGCAATTATTTTAGTAAATATAAACTGCTAAATACCTTTTCTTATCAGCAATTATAGCAGTCTTGTGACTTCTATCAGTGTCCAGCAGAGCACTGATTAAAGCTTGTAGAAGGAGTTTTCATTCTCCTCTGACTGTCCTATGAGGCTGCATGACCCCTGACCGTCTGAACAGTGCTGATTGGCTCTGTGCTAATCACATGTACTCTCCCAAGAAAAAAAAAAACTCTCTAGTAATACACACTAAACTGAGCATGGGCTCTGTACTATCAGCCGATGCATTGGGGACTGTGGGAGAAAGGGGGGATCATAGAAAACAGGATCAAACATCCTTTTTGCGTATTTCGGAGGATTAACACCTTAGGTTCTACAGGGCGCATAACAAGCATGCTTTACTGCATAAGCAGACTGATTTTACTGTTGTGGGTTTATTAACACTTTAAAGGAAACCTGTATTGAAAGAAATTAAGAGGCTGCATACTGCTGACCTCTTTCTGAAAATGCTAGTCACATGGCTGTCTCCTGCTTTCATACTTTCAGACATTCAGCTGGAACAAGCATGCAGATCATAAAAGTCAGAATTCCTAATCGGTGTACTTGTTGGTAGTCACTGACTTTAAAAACTTATAAACAGGGGCGGACTGACAACTCATGGGGCCCCCGGGAAATAGGGGATCATGGGGCCCCTGTGTCCTTGCCCAAACTCAAAAAAGCCTATGAAAAAGGTACCAGGGGCATCTCATGGGGCCCCCTACTGACCCCGGGCCCTCGGGCAGTGCCCGAGTTTCCAAATGGTCAGTCCGCCCCTGCTTATAAACTCTTTGGATCAGGATGACAGCTACTGATAATTATTGAAAACAGTAAGAGCAGTGCTAAATCCACCAAAAATAACAACAAAACACCTCCTAATAAATGTGATGCTTGAAAAATTCAAAACAAATGACATGTAGAAAAGTTCAAATAAATACACATACAGCAACAATTCATCTGTTTCAAGACATAAAACGTGCAGAATTTAAGGTGCAAGGCAAATCATAATCAGGGGCGGACTGACAACTCATGGGGCCGCCAGGCAATAGGGGATCATGGGGCCCCTGTGTCTTTGGCCAAACTCAAAAAAGCCTATGAAAAAGGTACCAGGGGCATCTCATGGGGCCCCCTACTGACCCTGGGCCCTCGGGCAGTGCCCAAGTTTCCAAATGGTCAGTCCGCCCCTGATCATAATAGTCCAAATAAGTGAATATAAACAGCAACAGTTGATCTGTTGACCCGATGTGCATTCACATTCCTGTTCCCAAAGTGCTTCCACCACCATGTGTCACCAGTGAAAGAAGCCTCTTACCGCACAGTATGGACCATATACGGAACTAAGACTGGGATGTCATGTGCGTATAAAGGCAGGCCTCCCAATACTTGTGGCAATATAGTGTATCTGAAGGATGAATACCTTATACCTGTAAATAGGACATTGTATATAAAGTTTCAAAAGTATGGGGCCCAGGGGCGGACTGACCATTTGGAAACTTGGGCACTGCCCGAGGGCCCGGGGTCAGTAGGCGGCCCCATGAGATGCCCCTGGTACCTTTTTCATAGGCTTTTTTGAGTTTGGGCAAGAACACAGGGGCCCCATGATCCCCTATTGCCTGGGGGCCCCATGAGTTGTCAGTCCGCCCCTAGAGGGGCCATCACCCTAATCAACAATTTGCGGGTGCAAAACGCTACTTTTTGTTATGGTTTTTATTAGTTTTAAGGCTGTTTTAATGTGCATCAATAAAGTTTGTAAAGTTTTATAACTTGGTGTGGTGCCCATAAAGTCCATGTACTGCAGTCCAAGTTTTTTCCTTATTCATTCAAGTGGCTTCTTTCAGTGGCGTGACATGGTGGTGGAAGCATTTTGAAAACAGGAATGTGAATGCACATGGGGTCAACAGATAAACTGTTGCTGTTTATGTGCACTTATTTGGACTATTACTGTATGATTCCTTTGCACCCTAATTTCTGCACATTTTATGTCTTGAACTAGATGAATTGTTGCTGTGTGTGTATTTTTTGCATTCCAGCAGCCATTTCCCTATAGGCATAAAGCACACTCCCACACCATCCCACTCAGGCATCAACAGCAAGGCTCCTACTTTCCATTCATCACACATCTGCATCAGAGGCTGGTCATCAGCACTGAGGAAAAGGATTCATCCCCGAAACGCGTCAGCCATTTGACCGTACTGACAGTGAGAACACCTTGCCTGCCGTTGTGGCCATTGTCATTTTTCTATGCTTTTTAGATACATGCTTCGTCTGTGAGTATGTTTTTATTATTCTTTCACTCCTACAATAAACCTTGGATAATGCACTAGGTGTGTGCGCCACCTGTTTTCTCTCTATCCTGTGTGTGTATTTATTTAAACTTTTGTGCATGTCCTATGCTTTGAAATGCAAGCACAAGACTTCCTAGCACAAGACTTCCTTCCAGGCAGCATAGTGGCTAAATGGTTAGGACTTCCGCCTGGCAGTACTAGGGTCGTTGGTTCAAATTACAGCCATGGCACTTCCTGCCTGGAGTTTGCATGTTCTGCCTGTCCCTGCATGGGTTTCTTCTGGGTACTCCGGTTTTCTCCCACACTCCAAAGACATGCTGGTAGGTGAATTGGCTCCTGTCTAAATTGTCCCTACTATAAGTATGTATGAATGTAAGCTAGGGACCTTAGATTGTACACCCCTTGAGGGTTAGAGACTGATGTGAATGTACAAAATATATATGTAAAGTGCTGTGAAAATTGACGGTGCTATATAAGTACCTGAAATAATAAATAAAATTATTAATGTTTTAAGCATCACATTTATTAGGAGGTGTTTTGTTGTTATTTTTGGTGCTCTGACTGTTTTCAGCTTTGTTACAATTTACATAACAATTGCACAGCAGCTACTTTATTATTTATACGGATTGCGTTTTTTTGGACCTAGTGTGGATTTATTTTAAATGTATCATGGGTAATGATTGCTTCTCTCCATTGCCCCTGTAAATTGTTTTATTGCCACATAGAAATAAAGTGTAGTGTAATGCAAAAACACAGATAGTGTAAGAAACAAAAATGGCAGAAATAACTTGAAAAGGCATGAATGGATGAATTGATGTTGGGGGATATAACGTAGATATGGATGCAAACTCTGGTATAAATTAGGTGGATTACATGAATGAAAAAGTTTTCATTTTTAATAGAAAGCATTTGCACATCGATATTATAGCAAAAGACACTTGGATGGAATTGTATTTAGAAACTGAATTACAGTACAGTACAGTAATTACTGTAGGTTACATTTGACTTGTAGAAAATGTTAGTTTTAAGGATGGAAGCATGTTCTGTTTAGTATTTTTTTTCTCCCTGCCGTAAATCATTACACATTGGCAACTAAAGACAAAGAGTATTCTATCAGACATCAAGGTCATTGCTTTCAACATCTCGAGTGTTTTCAGGAAAGCAGGGAAAGTCCACCCTGGGTCCATCTTGGGTATCCTGAGATGCGCTCTCCATTTCTGCATTTGGGTCCTCAAGAACTGTCTGAAACATATTATTGTCCCAAAAGAGGCTGAGAGTTGATCTGTCATTCTGCTCACTCTCTTTGAGATCTTGCATCTCTTTTGCACTTCCCCAGGGTGTCTGGACATCAAATGTCTTGTCAAAATGAGAGTAGTCAACGCGGAATGCTCCTTTCTCCAGAGTCATGCAAGGCTCAAACCGGTGACCCCACAATATTTCATCTTCGGTATAGGAAGTCTTGGCTTGACATGTCATTCCTGTATGGAATGAGAATTGAGATTTATTATATTAAGGGGCGGCAATATCCTAATATTGAAAAGATCATTTATTAAGGTACAGGGAGAGTTGCTTTATCGCACCCTTCTATCTGTTTTATAGTGTAAGTGCACTTTCAGTGAGTAGGCTAATACACTGTAAATGCTCAGGAGATGACCATCTACAACTCTGTGGCCACTTACTGTACAGGCACAGCCAGCAGGACAGAAACATGCAGAAGAATCCTACAAACGGGTAGTCTCCAAGCTACGGCCCGGGGCCTGGATGCAGTCCTTTGCTTGCCTTTATCTGGGGCACTATTCCTCTCAACGATGCGAGACATTATTCCCCCTAATGACACCAATAATGGGGCACTATTCCTCCCATTGACACCAACGATGGAGTACTATTATTCCTACTGACACCAGCAATGTGGCATTATTCCTCTCATTGACACCGATGATTGGACATTATTCCTCCCACTGACACCAACAATGAGGTATGACTTCTCCCATTACCAATGATGGGGTACTATTCCTTCCACTCACGCCAATGTCTGGCCCCCCTAAAGTCTGAAGGACAGCAAACTGGCCCTTTGTTTAAAAAGTTTGAAGACCCCTGCTATATACAAAGCTGCACCATGAGCAAGCTATGGCTATCCTACTGAAGTAAGTGTACAGCTAGAATAGGTGGGGAGCAGCTAGGAAGGGTGGTTTAGTCCATGAAAGTGCACTTTTTATGACATTATGTACTTCAGTTTGTTTATTATATACTTGTTTGATATACCACATAATGCCTACTAAGTTCCACTCTTTTGTCCCCATTGAAGACAATCTCTCTCCATGGCTGCTGTAAAATATCGTATTTTCCGGCGTATAAGACGACCCCCTACTTTTTCTGTTAAAATACAGGGTTTGGGCTATACTCGCCGTATAAGACTACCCCTCTTCCAATGCACACCAAATAAAAATTAAAAAACATCAGATTTGATTTCAATATGGTAGGGTATTCCAATGATGGGGCACGATTCCTCGCTCTGACACCAATGATGGAGCACTATTCCTCCCACTGACACCAATGATGAGGCACTATTCCTCCCACTGACACCAATGATGGGCACGATTCCTCGCTCTGACACCAATGATGGAGCACTTTTCCTCCCACTGACACCAATGATGAGGAACTATTCCTCCCACTGACACCAATGATGAGGCACTATTCCTCCCATTGACACCAATGATGGTGCCCCATCATTAGTGTCAATGTGTGAGGAATAGTGCCCCATCATTAGCGTCAGTGGGAGGAATAGTGTCCCATCATTGGTGTCAGGGGGAGGAATAGTGTCCCATCATTGGTGTCAGGGGGAGGAATAGTTCCCCATCATTGGTGTCAGTGGGAGGAATCGTGCCCCATCATTGGTGTCAGTGGGAGGAATAGTGCCCCATCATTGGTGTCAGTGGGAGGAATAGTGCCCCATCATTAGTGTCAGTGGGAGGAATAGTGTCCCATCATTGGTGTCAGGGGGAGGAATAGTTCCCCATCATTGGTGTCAGTGGGAGGAATCGTGCCCCATCATTGGTGTCAGTGGGAGGAATCGTGCCCCATCATTGGTGTTAGAGCGAGGAATCGTGCCCCATCATTGGTGTCAGAGCGAAGAATCGTGCCCCATCATTGGTGTCAGTGGGAGGAATAGCACCTCATCATTGATGTCCGTGGGAGGAATAGTGCCCCATCATTGGTGTCAGTGGGAGGAATCGTGCCCCACCATTGGTGTCAGAGCAACGAATCGTGCCCCATCATTGGTGTCAGTGGTAGGAATAGCACCCCATCATTGGTGTCAGTGGGAAGAATCGTGCCCCATCATTGGTGTCAGTGGGAGGAATAGCACCCCATCATTGGTGTCAGTGGGAGGAATAGCGCCCCATCATTGGTGTCAGTGGGAGGAATAGCACCCCATCATTGGTGTCAGTGGGAGGAATAGCACCCCATCATTGGTGTCAGTGGGAAGAATCATGCCCCATCATTGGTGTCAGTGGGAGGAATAGCACCCCATCATTGGTGTCAGTGGGAGGAATAGCGCCCCATCATTGATGTCAGTGGGAGGAATAGCGCCCCATCATTGGTGTCAGTGGGAGGAATAGCGCCCCATCATTGGTGTCAGTGGGAGGAATAGTGTCCCAACATTGGTGTCAGTGGGAGGAATAGTACCCCGTCAGTGGGGAGAGGAATAGTGCCCCATCATTGGTGTCAGTGGGAGGAATAGTGCCCCATCGTTGGTGTCAGTGGGAGGAATAATAGAAATTCTGAAGGACCCTCTGCACACTGGTATATACCCTTTCAAGCAGACTTTGCAATAAATAGGGATATTTAGTTCTCACATATTGCAATACATGCTTAAGCTGCCCAACTGCATCAAAGTAATCCCTCTATGGCCAGTCCTACTCTGCCTTGCCTACGCAAATGCTGCTGTGGACACAATGCTAGCATAGGGGAAAAGACACAATGGGGAGAGCTACAAGGTTCAGGTCTGGCTACTGACCCAACAATACAACAAACAAGAGATCCCTGTGCTCAAATCCATACAACTAGTGCATGCATTTATCCTATTGGATAAATGCATGCACTAGCTGTATGGATTTGAGCACAGGGATCTCTTGTTTGTTTAGTGGGAGGAATAATGCCCCATCGTTGGTGTCAGTGGGAGGAATAGTGCCCCATCGTTGGTGTCAGTGGGAGGAATAGTGCCCTATCATTGGTATCAGTGACACCAATTATGGGGCACCATTCCTCCCACTGACACCAATGACACTTGCTGACTCCTGTTCCAGTATGGTGCTGCTGCAGCCAGCATATGTGGTTGCAACAGCACCTCTGCACTGCACACTTACCGGCTTTTCCCTCACTCGATTTTCGCGGGTCCACTCGGCTCCGCCTCCTCGCCCGTGATTGTGTGCCTTTCCTGAGCTACAGTTCTGGCGGCCAATCACCGGTGAGGAGGCGGAGCCGAGCGGCAGGAGTGAGGGAGTGGCCGGAGTGACTGAAGGAGCAGCGCTTCCTGGACTCGTGGGAGCCAGGTAAGAGACAGCAGCCCTCTACCCACCCCTGTACTTAGTGTCCCTTCCGTCGGAAGGGGGGGACGGCGGCAGCACCGCGCCGCCCCCCTAAAAAGTGTTGCCCTGATGTATACCGGCGTATAAGACGACCCAGACTTTTGAGAAAATTTTCAAGGGTCAAAAAGTCGTCTTATACGCCGGAAAATACGGTAGTATTACCATAGAATCCTACCACTTTATTAGAAAGTTGAAGCATTAAAGGGTCAGTCCACTCAAAACTCATATTTCAGTTTTTGGTAAATGTTGGAGAGGTAAAGTATATGTGATCCCTCACCTTGTAAAACAACCCATAGAGTTTAAAATAGAAATGAAAGGCAAAACATCTGCATATGGATACAAGAAATCATTATAAATACCATGTTTTCCCTGTTTTATAAGTGATCACAAACCCTCTAAGCTCCTTATGCAGCTGAGAACAGAAAGTTGGGGGAGGAGACATAGCAGCACACTGAACTTCTCCGTGAATAGCCATGTGGGGGGGGGGGGGGGTTGTCAGCAGGAGCCGATTATTGCAGGCTGAGTTCTCAGCACAGCTACAAAACTGACCATAAAAGAAATGAAAGGCAAAACATCTGCATATGGATAAAAGAAAGCATTATAAATACCATGTTTTCCCTGTTTTATAGATGATCACAAGCCCTCTAAGCTCCTTATGCAGTTGAGAACAGAGAGGTGGGGGAGGAGACACAGCAGCACACTGAACTTCTCCGTGAATAGCCATGTGGGGGTGGGTCTGTGGGGGGGGGGGGGGGGTTGTCAGCAGGAGCCGATTATTGCAGGCTGAGTTCTCAGCACAGCTACAAAACCGTCCACACTTTGCTCTCCTACGTAGTGTGGCCATTTTTTAACTGGAAAACAGAGGGACTCTCAGGAACACCAGAGATTTTTAATATAAGTACATGGTACAGCAGGCTCCTCAGATCAGAAATATGAAATGTTGGGTTTACATATTCTTTGAATTGAACAAGCAGTAAAAGCACTTTACAACAAGCCATCATTCACATTGGCATTGTGGAGAAATCCATCCTCAAAGTTCACTTTGAAATCTCAGTAACTTTCCAATTTACTTATTATGGAGAGCATACAGTAAGTGTTTATAACTTGTTACAAACTGACTAAAACTCAATTTAGAGTCTTTGTTGTGACATTTGAGAATCTTTGAGAATGAATTACTTAACAGCACAATCAAGTAGATTGGTCAGCTATGACTAAGGCCCTTTCAGGCCAAAAGGAGTAAGTTATATCTGTTTTAAGTGTGACTCTTCAATATAGTACAGTATATCTTGAAGAATTGTCTTGTGTGCCAACTTGTTTAACCAGTTGAAAACCTCCCTATAGCAGCTTTAGTGCTACAGGGCGACCGCTATGTGCAGAATCACGTATATGTTTGTGATTCTGCACTTCCTGGTAGGTGCGCGTGCACACGCGCCCCTGCACGCTGCTTCTGCTGTGATTAGTCACAGAAGAAGCTGATCAGCGGATGCCAGCCAATGGATGGCCGCCAGAACCCGCTGATTGGCGAGGAGAGAGATAGAACATAGCTTTGCCTATGTAAACAAGGCAGAGCTGTGTCCTGTATGTGCTGGATTGTGTTTCCCTGCAAAGCAGGGAATAAAATCTGGCACATCTCTTAGTAAAAACATCATATATAAACACTGGTTATGCACACAGTTAACCCTTTGAGTGTCCTAGATGTTTACCCCCCTCCCAGCCAGTGTCATTAGTACAGTGACAGTGTATATTGTTAGCACTGATCACTGTATTAGTGTCACTGGTCCCCACAAAGTGTCAGTTAGTGTCAGATTGTCCGCTGCAATATCGCAGCCCCGCTATAAGTCTCTGATCGCCACCATGCTAGTATAAAAAATAAATAAATAAAAATTCCAATA